AAAAAAAAAAAAAAAAAAAAAAAAGAAAGAAAAGTTGTGAGGAAACATTAATTCTCAGCTGTGACCACACCCACATCACCACAAGCAAGCCTTTCCATCACTACCACTTTTCTTGCTGGACTTAATCTGCCAAGAAACTCTTAATGCCTTGACATGTGCTATTTCCCCTTCACACTACATAGCCTCTACATAGATGCCTTAGATGGTTTTCCTGACACCCAATTGCTATCCGTATTGAAACCTAGCCTAAAGGGTCTCTCTTGGTCTTCTACTCTGCATTTCCAGTCCTCCCCCCAACACCCACCCCCTTATTACTGTGCTGTAACAATCCTTCTTTAGAATGATAATATTATATTATAACTCTATTATCTCTGTATCCTGCCAGCAAAAGCAGTTTTAGGGTATCACTAAGAGCCCAGGTAAAAATTTGGTACTGGAGATGGAACTCAGAACCTTTTTCTTGCAAGGAAAGAAGACGGAAGAACCACTGAGCTAAATCCTGGCCAAGCCCAGGAAAAATTTGAATGGGTACAAATTAGGCTTGCAGATATGAAGACGAATCCAATCATGGCCGTGCAGACTGTGATTTGCCTTCATCTCAGAAATATGGAATTGGCGAGGGCTGCCTTCCTCAGAAAAGCTATCTCAAAACAACAGTAGGCCTGGAGTCTGCATTCCAGTGGAAAGGGCAAACTGTAGAGAGGGACAGAAGGATCTTCAGCACAGCGCTTACACTCTAGGCCCAGAATTGGTTTTAAAAAAAAAAAAGCCCGCAGCAGGCGTGAGAACCATGGCGAAAGGATAGTGGCGCTGGGCCAGTTCCAGAAACATCGGGTCTTTGGGACCAGAAAACCATAAGGGCCTGACGGATTCAGAAAAGGGGCCTCACCTTCGGCGGAGACCCTGAAGGACAAGACAGAACAGTCTGGCGCCAGAATGGGGAGGGGTCACACCCAGGGGTCTGCGCCATTCGCGGAGTATGCTCAGGGATCCGATTCCTACTTGCGTTTGCCCTCACCAGCGGCCAGCAGAGATCTGCAGGCCCTGAGGGCGGCTCAAATCCACACCACTGCTGGCCGAGGGCCCACCCCGGCGACCCCCACTCACCCCCCGTGGGCCGGTCCAGCTTGAGGATGTCCCGCAGGTGCTGCGTGGCGTCCTCGATGTCGATGCTCGCGCAAGAGGCCATGGGCTCGGCCTCGGGGCCCTGCCCGAGGTGCGTTTGTTCTGTTGCTGCCGCGCACCACTCGGCCTCCCCCAGCTACGACCCCCTAGACAACGGGACCGCTGGTCACTATACAGGGTCCACAGACTGATAGCAAACTGCCGCCTGCACCGCGTCCCTGAACCGGGCCAACCCCACCAACCGCCTACACTTCCGGCCCCACGAGACTGCACTCCCGGAACCTGCGAAGGCCAAGAAGAAAGGTTCCGGGCTGGGAGTGACTTCTGCCTGGATCCTGTCCTTTCTCTCTTCCTTCATTGTCCTACCCGTGCCCACAGGGTCAGGGAAGTTTCACAAGACAGGCAGAGGAAATGCCCTCTGTGCTTAGAAATGGGACTCCCAAAACTGTACCCGCCTCCGGAGATCCCACCTAGTCCCTATCCACTCTAGGATAAATTCTTGGCAGTCCTAGACATAATCAACCAAGATGCAGTAACCCAGACAGGCAGGAATAAACTTAACTGGTAGCCTATCTCCCCTTTGGAAAATGGACTGTAGTAACTTCAGGAGTCCCAGGAATTCCAAGGCCAAGGGAGATGTTCCCACAAATATCAGTCATTGTTCCCTACTGGCCCCCTACATCGCCCTTGTCCCACCACAGCACGCTCAGGTTAGGAAGAAAGAAACCACAGTTTACAAACACCTCTTTATTGCAGACATTTCAGGCATAGGTACATGGAAGAAGCTATATTGCAGATTTTTATACAGGGTGGTTTAAGAGGGAGCAGGCATCTACCTCTCCCCCACCCCAAACACACAGCAGCTTAGATATCAGTTCCACTGAAATCTGACTGTGCTGTCCTCCCAAACAGCACATCATCCAGCCCTGTGCCCAGTGAAGACAGTCAACCTGTGGGGTCTGAAAAAGCCCGTACCCTTCCCTCATAGTGGGAAACAGGAGGGTACAGATTAGCCTGAGCTGGGGTGCCCTCACCAATCCTAAAACCTCTAATTGGCCCAAATCCTAGGTTTGGTTCTGGCCTGCAGTTGCTACTTGGCTTGTTTTACCATCCAGAGGTCTCAGGGTTGAGGGGCTATATTTGTATTGGGCAAAGTCTTTGTCCTCAAAACTGAGGAGCAAAACTGCCCTAATAGTTAAGACTTCCTGGGATTTAAAGACAGTATAGTTGTGTGTGGTGGGAAGGAAAGGGAAGAGGATTAGACATGTCCTGCTGAGGCTTAAGGGATGTGAACTCCTACAGCATGAATCTCTCATACTGACTTCCACAGATTCAAATCTTCCATACCCCAATCCAACAGGGGTTTGCTCTTTATGCAATCTTATCCCAAACAGGTAGTAAGAGAATCTGAGCTGCCCCCTGCTTGGCTTGGGGAATGTGGGACACCCTAGATATAATCCTGACCCTTCTGAGGATAAACTGGGTTTCTCCATCAGACTCAAAGAGCTTGAACCTGGTGGGCCATGTTTGCCCAAACTTCTCCAACTGCAACAGGATTCAGTTATCACTGCTACTAGAGCCCTGAATATACCCAGGGCAGAGGTTGCAGGAGGCATGAGAACGAACTACAGACAGGCTTCAATGCAAGGGAAGTTTCAGGTCAAACCTGAGCTTTCCCTGTCTACTCTTCCAAGACCAGGTAGCCTGGGGAGAACTCTGCCCTACTGGGCTTGAGGGAAGCTAGCTGGTAGTGTGCTTCAGCTACTTTTCTCCTTGCAGCAGGTATTGCTGAATTCGGGCAGAGGTGAAGGGTGAGACATGAGAGATAATTGGGCAGGGTATTTATTTATGTCCAGCCAACTATTAAACTAATTAAAACAATTTAAACTGTTAAGAAAATTTTTGTGGTTTTATTGTATCATGAGGCATTGAAACATCTGAACAAATCAATATTTGGGTGGTGAGGCAGCTGCTTTCTCCTTCACTTCTTTGGGTTACTAGAGCAACTTGTCAGTAGATTAAAAAAAAAAAAAGACAACCTTTTTGCATTACTTAAGTCTTTCCAAGGCATGCGCTGGTACAACACAAACTTCTCCTGTCAGATGCAACTAGTCTAGTGTCCAAACATCATGCACAACACCGTGGGGGCAGCAGCGCACCGCACCTACTTCCACCACGGTCCTGCTCACTTGTGTATGATATTTGGAGCATCTGGAGGAGTGTGATAGTATCAGGAAGAGGAGGGAGGAGGAAACAGCATGAGTGCCTGGCTGGGAAGAGGTCAGCCGAAGTTGTGCAGGGCAAGCCTGAACATATCATTGGTGCAAACCCAAGCATCGTTGATGTTCTTTAATAGGAACATCTGGTGGAATCCCATAATGGGGTCTTCATCGGCCTGTAAATAGAGAGAAAATAATTCAGCAAGAAGGCCAAGAAATAGGAAAGAGTTCACTGTTAGGGGAAAGCAAACTTCAGGATCAGGCTCTACTGTCCTGGATTCAATCCCAGTAGAGCCAGAGGGTACTTGTGAGTGTGAATTGATATCATGTGTGACACACTGCACTGGGCATGTAGAGGCCAAGAGATAGCAGCTTGCACTGCCTATACACTTAAAACATAATTCACCAATACGCTATGGTAAGAGGACGTGCGTGCCTTTGAAGCCATGTGACTGGGCAGATGTGGTTAAAATTCTAAAAGTATCCCATAATACATAATACATAATACATGTAACATACAGTATAAAAAACTGTAAACAAGCTTAGTGTTTTACGCCAGTCAGACCAATCAAAAGAAACTACTGCTAATGCTAACAGTGGCCAATAAATGAGGAAAGGCTCAAAACTGAGTTCACAATGGAATCACAATTTTACAAGAGAAAAAACAGCATAATATTGAGTAATCTGTTTCCTGTTATATAATATATATTATTGCAATGAAAAAAGAAAGGCAAAAAGCCTCCAGCCCAAATGCAGGAAACAAGGACAACCTAAGTACAATAAATCTCTCCTCAAAAAAAAGGAAAAGTAAACAAGGACAAGGCCTAGTTGAAGCAGAATCCCAGCTGTCTCCAATGTTACTTTTTTTCTGGGAATTAATGTCAGCAAGGAGCCAAATTAGTTGTTTGGGCTCTAGCTGGGATGCAAACACCAGGAAGAACCTAAAACCGTGGAAAAGGGCACTGCTTACTACTTCAGCTTAAGAAACATGAGAGATTTACTCAATCCTAGTGGCCTACTGGGCATAGGCTCTATCTAGACAGAGCAACTGGAAAAGGCAGGAAAAAGGTAAGAGAAGTCCAGGCCAAAAAGTAGGCCCCTCTGGGTCCACTGCAGAGGTCTAGGGTGACTCTCCCTCTGTGCCCACATTGATTGCAGGAAGCTCTATCCCAGTTAGCCTAGGGAAAATGCATGTGAATCTGCTGCTGTGAAACATTCCCAAAACACTGAGCTCTGTCCAAGGGGAAAGCCAATGTTTCCTACTTTGGGAAGAAAGAGAGGCTTTTTGTAAACACAATCTGGCTTTAATCTGCTAGAGCATAGCATGTTCCTTTGAGTTCTGGGGGATGTGAGGGACCACGGCAAGATTTTGAGGATGACAGGTCTTGAAAAGAAGAAAAATCCAAGGAGAGACAGGAGTTCAAAAAATTTTCTTTGGGGCTGGGGATTTAGCTCAGTGGTTCCGCTGCCTGCCTTATAAGCATAAGGACCAGAGTTCAATCCCCAGTACCAAAAAAAGAAAAAAGAAATTTCTTTGGCAGATGAGGAGCCAGCTTGGGGAGTGACAGCATGGGCTTTAGGAAGGGACTATCCTTCAGGGCAGTATGGGAGTTAGTGCTTGGGACCACAGCCAAACCCTCCTTCTATACCTCTTATACCCTTTTTGGGGGGTACCAGGGATCAAACTCAGGACCTTGTGCTTGTGAGGCAGGCATGGTGTCACTGAACTAAATCCCTGGCCTCTTATCCCTTTTCCATAAAGGATCTAAACCTGAGTTTTCCATTAGCACTTTCTGCAATCACAGAAATGTTCTGTATCTGTGCTGCCCAATAAATATCCACATATGCTACACTCTGAGCACTTAAAAAGTGTACCTAGTACAACTCAGGAACTAAATTTTAATTTTCAATTAAAATTAATTAGTTTCAATTAATATAATTAAAAATTGCAGGGCTGGGAATGTAGCCTGGTGATAAAGTACTTGCTTAGTATGTACCGGGTTCAATCCTAGACAGCAAACAAACAAAAAGAGCCTCAAGTAGCTAATGGCTATTATACTGCAATATGCAAGTCTAGACAGTCATTTTGGGTGTCCCTTGGCAAGTCACATCCACAGGGAAGGCATGGACCCAGGATGCTGCCCCTCCTACCCATTCCTCCCCAGCACTATTACCTTTAGCTGGCCTACAACCATGCTGATGATGCAGCTATCTGGTGTGGGCTGATGGTCCTGTGCTGTGATGTTGTGCTGGATTTTCTGGAATGGAAGGCTCTGCAAAAGAATAAGTGGGTAATGGGCTGAGGCCAGAAAAGGCAAAGAAGAAACAGCCCACACCCTAGCTCTGGCCCTTACTTACAGACAACTTCTCCACAATAGCAGCTTTCCCCTGGAACTGCTGTCCTTCCCACGTAAGGCATGATGCATCAATCTGAAAAACACACAGAAAACCCAGGGTCAGGCCCTCGGCACAAGGAATATCTTTAAGGCTTAAAAACAAAAATCCTGAAAAAAAAGACATTTTTGGGAAAGTTAGTCTGTATCTATTATGGTTTCAATCCAAAATGTCCTCTAAAACAATGTTCCAAGTGTTTGGAAGGAGATTGGATCATAGGGTAGCTAAACCTGAACACACTGCTAGGAGGTGGGGCTTGCTTAAAGGATGGTCACTGGGGTGGGACCTGGAAGGATATATTCTTGTTCCTAGCACATCCTCTTCTCTCTGTTTCCTGGCTGCCATGGGATGAAGCAGCTGTCCTGTCACTGCCCTTCCACCATGGCTTTCTGCCTTGGAATCAACCGACCATTGACTGAATCCTCTGAAAACCATGAGCCAAATAAACCTCTCTTTATATAAGATGTATTGGGTATTTTGTCCCAGAGATGGAAAAGTGGCCAATATAACACCTGTTTCCCTGTTTGTAAACAAGGGCCTGAAGGTAGCCTCCAAACTTTATATTATCAACAGCTTTCTAACTACTCCCCATTGTTTCATGAGCCCAGGCTCTGAAAGATTGTTTAATAAAATATATTTATCAAGCTCAACACCCCCACACCATCTTTTTTTTTTTTGGTGTGTGAGCTGTTGGGGATTAAAACTACAGACACTCAGGCCAGGGATTTAGCTCACTGGTTCTGCTGCCTGCCTTGCAAGAGCAAGGACCCGAGTTTGATCCCTGGTACCAAAAAAATTAAACAAAACAAAACAAACAAACAAACAAAAAAAAACTACAGGCATTCTGCCACTCGGCTACATCCCCAATCCTTTTATTTTTGAGACAGGGTCTCACTAAGTTGCCTAGGGTAATCTGGAACTTGAGCCTCCCAACCACCTGGGATTGCAAGTATGCACTGATAACTCCAGGTTCATTTCCCTTTCTTTTTTTTCGTTTGCACTGGAAGGGATTGAACCCAAGACCTATGTACTTGGCTACATCCACAGTCCTTTTTATCTTTTATTTTGAGATAAGGTCTCACTAAGTTGCTTATTTGCCCAGGTCGTGTTGTGTCTGAATTTGTGATCCTCCTGTCTCAGCCTTCAAATCCTGGGAGTAGGGTGTTACCACAACCAAATTCTTTTCTGATTGTGACTCATCACATAACTTCTCATATGCATGGGCCTCAGAAGGGTCCAATATGGCCAGAGCTCAGTCAAAAGACATCCTGTTGCATAGTCAGTAAGCATTAGTTTCAGAGACATCATTAGAAATAACAGGCTGGGTGTGATGGTGCACACAAGTAAGGCCACCACTCCAGAGGCAGGACAAGTTTAAGGCCCGTTCCGGCTGCAAAGTGAGTTTAAGGCCAGTATGAACTGCATAAGGAGACCTGTCTCAAAAAGAAAAAAGATTCATTACCATCTTTAAGACTGTGGCTGAGGTCTATTGTGGTCCTTCTAGGTACCCATGAAATCAGGGAAGGATGAAAGCTGTCAAGCCCCCCAATCTCCCAATGCCTAGCCTGGGTACTTCCTACCACCAGACAAGATTGTACATGCAACCCATGAGCTTTGCTCTTTGGTCCCCCAAATTTTCCCTTCTATAGTATTCAGGGACAGAACTCTTTAAAAGAGTCTCTACAATCCCCAGTACCAAATAAATAAATAAATAAATGAAATGAAATGAAATGAAATGAGTCTCTACCGGGCTAGGGATTTAGCTCAGCAGTTCCGCCGCCTGTCTCACAAGCACAAGGTTCAATCCCCAGTACCAAAAAAATAAAAGAGTCTCTAAAGCCTACATTCAGGGATGGTGGTGCATGCCTGTAATCCCAGCACTCAGGAGGCTGAGATGGGAGGATAGCCATTAGTTTGAGACCAGCCTGAACTACATAGTGAGTTCCAGGCCAACCTAGACATTGAGTCCCTGTCTCAACAAAACAAGGGGTTCTACTACTTCCAGTGATGACATCAGGCAAATTACTTATTTTTGAGTCTGTTTCCTAACCCTCAAAGGTGAAATATGCTGAAGATTATGAAACAATATATACAAAGTGCTCTTTCAGGACCTTACTAACGTCCTTCTCTGCATCAGAGTTCCTTTAATTAAGAGAATTAAGAGATGTGGTGGTGCACTCCACATTCAGGAGTCTGAGGCAGGAGGACTGTCAAGAGTTCAAGGCCAGCCTAGAATACACAGTGAGGCCCTGTCTCAAAAAAAAAAAAAGACCAGTGAAATAGTAATTCTAGCACTTTGGAAGGCTAAGACAGGATTGCCAATTGAGCACAGCCCTGGCAATGTAATGACTCTGTCTCAAAATAAAAGTAATTTTTTTTTCTTTTTATTGAGTTTATTGGTACATTCTAGGTATACAGTACAGTTACATTCATTACTGGGATCTTGTACCTTTACATGACAGGTTCTTAGTTCTTATTTATTTAATTTATTTATTTATTTTTTTTTTGGTTTTTCGAGACAGAGTCCCACTATGTAGTTGAGACAGACCTGGAACTCACTATGTAGCCCAGGTTGGTCTCAAAACTCACAGCGATCCTCCTGCCTCAGCCTCCTGAGTGCTGGGATTACAGGCATGCACCACCACACCCGCTAATAAAAGTAATTTTTAAATTATTAGGATGTAGCCAATGCAAAGGTCCCAGGTTTAATCCCCAGTACTGCTAAATAAACAAATAGGGCTGGGGTAGCTTGGTGTTATAGCACTTGTCTAGCATGTATGAGGCACTGGGTTCAATGCTCAATACGGGGATGTGTGTGAATATGAGGAATATGAGAGGGGCTGGGTGTACAGCCCAGTGGCAGTTTTCCTTGTATACATGAGGCTGAGCACTGGAAAAATCTACACATAACAGCAATCAAATAATACTTGTGCTCGATTCAATCTTTCATTAATAAGATTCCTTTCTTTCTTTCTTTTGGTATGGGGATTGAACTTGGGTCCTTGTGCTTGCAAGACAGGCAGCAGAACCACTGAGCCAAATCCCCAGCC